TGCGGGGCAGGGCTCCCCGGTGGTCGTTCCGAAGATACCACCGGCATTTTCCCCCAGCCGAGCGGTGGGAGCCGGTCAGCTGGGGGAAAATGGGCTATGGGGAAAAATCGCAAAGTGATTTTTCCCCATAAGCAACATCGCAATGCGATCACAAAAGCGATCGCAAAAAAGCCATCGCTATGCGGATTCGTCATTAAACGGAGCACCCGTTAAGCGAGGCACCACTGTAATGGGGAAACACACACACCTTTAACCTCTCAGGTAAACTCATGTTGCCATATCTGTTCTTCAGAGTGCAGATTTTAAAGCCCTGTTCCAATTTTCAAAGCCTTGTTTGGGCTAGGCATCCTGCACATAAAAAGCCATACTATGCCAAAAACTCTATGAACATGTGTGTATGCTTTCCAAAAGATGCGCCCTTGCCTTTTGAAATTGAAAAAAGGGAGAGCTGTGAGTTAGCAAAGAATCTCACTGGAAAGCTACCTTGGGTTCTTTTAAAGAGAAAGGTGGGGTAAAAATATTTTAAATAAATAAATAAACCAAGGCCAAAATTATCCATATTATGTGAAAAGAAGACCACGAAGAAAGGCAAGAACAAGTCAACTCATTTGAAATGTGTTGTTGGAAGACAGCTTTGCAGACATCATTGATGCTGCCCTTTGCCATTTAAGCCTGGCATTCCACCCCCTTTCAGCTTTCTTAACTGTTCAGGTTTCATATCCGTTATCAGAAAGACAAGAGTGTGGATGATTTTGGTCTTGGTCACCAGTGACACATTAATACACTTGATGATATTTTCTAATTCCTTAATTGTTGCCCTTCCTAGTCTCATTCTTCTGATTTCTTGATTGCAGTCTCCATCTGTGTTGATGGTTGAGACAAGTATACAAAATTTCTACTGTAATTTCATCATTTTCAATGCAGTTGTGCAGTTCTTCATCACTGTTCAACTGCAACTGTGTTTTGGAACTTTCTTCTTTCACATTCACTAAAGTCATTACAAGTCATTGTGGGTTTCCTTCAGTCAGATGGTGTTATCTGTATCTCTTAAGTATTGATGTTTCGTTCACCAATTTTCACTTCTCCTTCATGTGAATCCATTCCTGTTTTCTTAATTATATGCTCTGAATACAGATTCAATAGAAAAGAAGGTAAAATGCACCATTGTCTGATACTTCTGCCTAGACTATAGAGCATAGACTGATCTTCTGAAGTTCTTTGGTGCTCTCCAGTAGCATGTGGATATATGCAATACAATCTTCTTTTTGGAATTCATTCATCAGACATTTCTTGCACAATATATAGTAAAAGTCTTTGTTGCAATATGTTGATAATCACTTTGCTTGTATAAGAAATTAAAATGATATTTAGTAAGTTCACTCATTGGCATCTCCTTTTTGTGGACTGGAATGTATATCGAGCATTTCCAGTCTGTGGGACTTTGTTTTATTTCCCATACGTATTGCCAGATTCTTGTTAGGATTCTGATGGCCATATTCAGTCTCTGTGGCTTGAAACAGTTCTATTGGTATTCCATTTATCCCTGGTGATTTATTTCTTCCTAGTTCTTTCAGAGCAGCTTTCATTTCATTTTCTAGAAGTGCAGGTTTTTCATTGTAGGATTCTTCTTCAAAGGACTCTCTGTCATCCTTCTGTCCCTTCTTTATAGGTGTTCAGTATCATTTCCCCACTTTTTCTCTATTTTATCCTGGTTGCCTATGTGTGTGTAAACCATTTGTGCTTTAAAAAAAAGTAACCCAAAAATCCTTTGTCAAAACTTCCCAAATTTGGTGGAGAGGAAGAGGACACTGTCTGCTACAACTCTGTCCTATTTGGTGCTGATCTGAAGGCCAGGTTAAAAGTTATAATTTTTGCTTGGGCTGACCCCACTTTTGGAATTGTCTGATTGGAATTGTCTCAGCGGGCTGCCTCTATTCTTAGTTTTGTGACACAGGTTATAAAAAAAAATGGAAAGGTGGTTCTTTTTGTCTACCTGTACTTGATGCCTCTTATTTACATATTTAAAAAACACACATGGATGAGAATTTACTTTACTATTTATTTATTTGCCCTTAAAAATAGTACAGGACCTATGAAGTGAAAAACAGAAGCACTGGAAAGCCATTGCCCATCATCTTCTGTGACACCATGGGGCTAGAAGAAGGAGAATTTGCCAGCCTGAAAATGGATGATGTGATCAACATATTAAAAGGACACATTCCTGATGGGTATCAGGTAGGATGTGCCACCTAAAACTCTACAGCTCATGTGAAGTAAAGGAAGAGTTATTCCAAAATCTGAGTATCTACTCAGGCATATTTACACAATGTCATAAAGCTGTCTCTTTGTCATTTGGTAGGATAATTTTGGTATATTTGTTTCATGCAAGACATTTGTATTGATGTGGAACACATTTTTCCTGAGTAGGCATTTCAGATGTCGGTTTGTGTCTAGCAGTTTCTTGCAGGAATTGGGTTGCGTTCTAGCTATTCTCTGTTGTTTCTGCTGATTGCTATTATCTCTTTTTATTTTCAGTTTAATCCAAGCGCAGCTATGCAACCAAGTGCACCTGGCTACATTAAGTATCCCTCTCTGAAGGACCAGATTCACTGTGTTGTATTTGTCATTGATGGATCCAAGGTTGAAATTCTCTCTGAGAAGGTGGAAGGAAAGTTAAAAGAAATTCGACAAAAAGTTATTGAGCTTGGTCAGTTTCACATATTAATGCTTGAAACTAAAAGATCACAGAGTGATGATGCATATTTGTAGTTTTGGACCTAAACTCATGGAATTCCAGTAGCCATGCTGCCTTGGGGATTCTAGGAGTTGTACTCCAAAAGCACACTGATGTGCACAGGAAGTGCTGGTCAAGCGATTCTGAGAGCTGGAACAATCATGATTTACAATGATAAGATAACTTTTAATGTTTACCTGCTTTCACTTGTGTTTTACTTAGTGAATAATGTACACTATTTTTCTGTTTATAAGACGACCTGATGTATAAGCCGATCCCCACTTTTCTAACCCCAAATTAGAAAATTTGATCGCTGCTTTCCCTGCCACTTCCTAAACCCTGGGCTTTGGAAGGGGAAAGCAGGGATCAAACTGCATGATCCTGTTTGAGTGCTACTTTCCTCCTCCTTTTGCTAAGCCCCACGGGATTTAGAAAAAGGAAGCAGAAAGCAGGGATCAAAGGGCTGCACAATCAGAGCCCACAACCAGTGGCAGAGGCAGCAGGAGGAGGCAGAGACAGATGCAAAGGAGCAGTGACGTTCGGTCGTCTCTTGCGGCTGTTTTTTTATTGCTGCTGCCGCCAGGCTCCTCCTCCAGTGTTTGTCTTCTTCGGGCAGGGAACAAGGCAGAAACATGAGCTGGAGATAAGCCCCTTAAGTGGTGCTGAAGGGGGCGTTTGAGTGCTGGCGGCAGCAGTTAATGGGCAGCTGCAAGAGGTGTCCGATCACTGATTCTTCTTTGCCTCACTCTCTGCCTTGTGTTGCTGCCTTCCGAGTATAAAACGACCCTCAATTTTTCTCTAATTATTTTAGGAAAAAGTATCATTTTATACATGGAAAAATACGGTACAGTGGTGCCTCGCTTGATGATTACCTCGTTAGACAAGAAAATCACTTGACGATGAAGTTTTTGTGATCACTTTTGCGATCGCAAAACAATGTTTTAATAGGCAAAAATCGCTTAACGGCGATCGGTTCCTTGCTTTGGGAACCGATTTTTTCGCTTAACGACGATCTTCACAGCTGATCGTCAGTTCTTCAAAATGGCTGCCCGTTGTTTAAAATGGCTCCCCGCTGTGTTTTAGGATGGATTCCTCACTTTACAGGCACCTAAAATGTCCGCCCTATGGAGGATCTTTGCTGGACGCTGAGATATTTCGCCCATTGGAACGCATTGAATCGGTTTTCAGTGCATTTCAATGGGCTTTTTCATTTCGCTTGATGAGGATTTCGCTTAACAGCGATTTGAACAGAACAAATTATCCTCATCAAGCGAGGCACCACTGTAGTTTAATTTTTTTTAATGTTTAGCTTCTTACATTTTAAATTTTATTCTTTTAATATTGTGAACCATCTTGGGTGTCCTAATGTCCTTATAGTTTCTGTTCCAAGAATGGCAGGGTAACTATTTCAAAAATTTGCTGGTTTGAAATACTTCCTTTCTCTTGATAAGACATCCATGACAGTGAATTCAAGAGACTGGGAAATCCATGGTTCATGATACTGCTCTTTCAATAACTTCTTTTCTCCTTCCAGAATTGCCACAACTTGTATTACTTACTAAAGTGGATGAAATCTCTTCTTTTCTTAAAGAAGATGTTTCCGATGTGTACAAAAGCCAAGCTGTTAAACAAAAGGTAAATGCTGTTTATTGTTCTGCATGTCAATGTCATTGTTTTAAACAGGCAGCCATGCTCTTACACGGTCAGGCTATGCACAGTGTTCTGGCCTTTTCTTTTGTTTTTACTCACCCATGGAATGAACACTCATCACTGCTATGTTCTTAAGTCATTGTAGGAAAGGAATACATATACTCAGCATTTAGGTTGCAGTCTTCCCCACATGTACTAGCACTTCAGTCTCTTTTATTCTGGACACCTGCTTCCATGTAAACATCCATAGGCTTCTCTGCAAGCAGTGAGTCCCTTTTGATCAATAGAACTTACAGATGAGTCACTTCACCAAATCCCCACTGATTCAATAGGCCCCCTGTAGTATGACTTGCTACACTAAACAACAGGATTTCTGCCATTCATGTAATTTGTTTTTATCGTAAAGGAAGGCTGCACTTAGAATTCCACAAGAAATCCATATTTCTTTCTACTGACCTATGGAGACCCTCTGAATGAGTGATCTCCAAAAGGTCCTGTCTTCAACTGCCCTGCTCAGTTCTTGTAAACTCAAGCCTGTTGCTTCCTTTAGGGAGTCCATCCAACTCAGATTTGTCTTTTCCAGAGAATCCTGCCTTCTAAGAATGTTCCCAACACAGGAGAGCCTCAGTTTCATCATTTTTCTTGTCTCAAGAGATAGTCCAGGCTTGATTTGAATTAGGACTCACTTGTTCATCTTTCTGGCAGTCTCAGGTATCCAGAAAAAACACATTTCAGAGAAATACATTTTCCCTTTTAGCTTTCTTAACTGTTCAGCTTTCACATCCATACATAATGAGATGAGAAATACAAGAACGTGGATGATCTTGGTTGCCAGTAACACATCCTTACACTCTATGATCTTTTCTAACTGCATCCTTGTTCCCAGTCTCCTGAGTTCTTGGCTAGAGTCTCTAACTGGATGTATGACTGATCCTATGCACACAAAATTTCTATTTCAGTTTCTTCATCCTCAATGCTGAAGTGTTGTAGTTCTTTTGCAGTCATGGCTTTTGTCCTCTTAACATTCAACTACAGTTCTGCTTGGGCACTCTCTTCTGCTTTTACTAAAAGGCATTTCAAGACATTGCTGCTTCCTGGCAATAAGAAGGTGTCATCTTTATCTCTGAAATTCTTGAGATTTCTTCCATCAGTTTTCTCTCCTTCATCTGAATCTGTTCTGCCTTTCCATATGATATGTTCCATGTACAGAATGAACAGAAATCTAGAAAAATCCAAATCCTTTTTCAAAAGTCAGAAGGGGAAACCAAAGTTAATAAATTCAGCAAAAATAAACTGTTGGTATGTTTTGTCAAAAGCTTTTTCAGCATCAGGCAAAAGAGAATTTTTGCTTATTGATCATCTGACTTCTAAATGTCTTATCATTAAGTAAAGAAACATTAAGCTGATCAGGTCTCTCGCTAATCAAATCTACTGCTGCTCTCAGATCACTGGGACCACGAGTGCCATGTATAGACCCAACCTGGTCTGGAGGTACTAGGGTTTTAGTGATCTTTTGGTGCCTCTTGGTTATTATAGCCATTAATATTACATGAACATTCATGAAAGAAATAGGTTTGCACATTGTCGTTCTTGCCAGGCTTCGGAACCACTATAATATACTCATGGTATAACATAGAAGGCAGGGATCTGATGGTATATTGGTGTTAAAAGATCTAGAAAAGGCTCTCCAGGAAATCCATCTGGTCCTCAGGATTTATCAGTATTCATATTCATAATCACTGCCTTTATTTCATCTCTGACCCAAGACAAAGAAACTGTTGCTGTAGATGATGTAGGCAGAGTAAACCAAGATGAGAAAAGAATGCTTTTATCAGTTGTCTGCCCTAACTATATTGTCCTGAGTAAAACATATGGAATTGTTGGTATAACTCCTTAATGGTTAGAGCAGTACGTTAATGGAACCAGTTACCTCGGGAGTTGGTGAGTGCTCCTACACGGGAGGCATTCAAGAAAACTTAGCTAATCACCTGGTAGATGACCTTTGATTGTATTACTGCATTGAGCAGGGGGTTGGACTTGATGGCCTTGTAGGCCCCTTCCAACTTCACTTTTCTATGATTTTATTATTCTATCCTTAGATTTGTATTCCTGCATTGAGCAAAGCATTGAACCTGATGACTTTATAGGACCCTTCTAGCTTCATTGTTCTATGATTGTAATATTTATTTTGACAAGGCTGGCAGGCATTTCATTGTTTTCATCTTTGTCAGTGGGATGCAATTTTTGATTGACATTTGGCATTTTGCAAATCATGATAAAGATTAGGTGTGGGGGATGTTGGAAACTAGCTTTTACATGCTTCTCACTATGATGCAAGTACTAGTTGATCTTTCACTGATACTAAGGTATCGTGATAGCTTTTTGATCATCTGACTTCTAAATGTCTCATCTTTAAGTAAAGAAGCATTAAGCTGCCCCAGAACAGGTGGGTTATCCCAGTCTGGAAACTGAAGGAATATGAGATTGCTTATGACTTGATTATTTTTCAAGTCATAAACATAGCTATGACTTGAAAAATAGTGCATAGTTACTGGCTCTTATCACATCCTCAGTACATGTAGTAATCTGAGGCGTCAAAAAGATTGAAACAAAAAAATAATAATCAAGTCATAAACAATTGTGTTGCACAGATAAACAACTTCAAGGGATTCCTCAGTATTCCTGCCAAATTTCATCTGAATCTGTTTATATTTAGTCGTGAGACTATGGTAGTAGCACACACACACAAATGCATGCACAAATTCACCCATTTGTATTATTATAAAAAGTACTGACAATGTATTCCAGTAATTTAGTTTGTGCAGTAGTCAGTTCTTCTAACTTTGTCCCATCTCCCCGCCAACCTAGCAGTTCAAAAGCATGCAAATGCAAGTAGATAAATAGGTAACACCTCGGTGGGAAGGTAAAACAGCGTTCCCTAGTGACGCTGGCCACATGACCACAGAAACTGTCTTCAGACAAGCGCTGGCTCTACGGCTTGAAAACGGGATGAGCACCACCCCCTAAAGTCAGACACGACTGGACTGAAATGGTGAAGGGGAACCTTTACCTTTATCTTTTACAGTTCTTCTAACAGAGCAGCATAGCCATCCAGAAAACACACAGAAGATTCCAGTCACTTCACAGAGCCAGCAGTATCCAGTCCACGTCAATGGTCACCTTTTTCTGAAACCAAAGGAGAGTTCTTTTGACAATCAGTCATGTTCTTATTTCCTCTACAGATGGAGACAGCATCAGGAAAACTTGGCATCCCTTTGAGTCAGATAGTTCCTGTAAAAGATTACTGTTCAGAGGTGGAGCTCACAGATGATGTTGATATCCTTATTCTTTTGGCCGTGAGGCAGATTGTGCGGTTTGCCCAACGATACCTTGATAATATCTCTGCAGATCAAAGACCTGTGGATGATTATTCTTCTGATTCTTTAAATGTTTAATATGCCACTTACATTTCCAAGTTTTTTCAGATTTCTTATAGAAGTAATGAAATTGATTTTATTTGCACCTGATTAATATTTACATATTTAAAGCTGCAAAACTATCTTAATGTTCAAATATCTCACTAGCCGCCGAGAGTGGTCGAATAGATCAGATGGGCGGGATATTAAATAAATAAATATATAGAAGTAATTGATTTTATTTGCACCTGATTAATATTTACATATTTAAAGCTGCAAAACTATCTTAATGTTCAAATATCTCACTAGCCGCCGAGAGTGGTCGAATAGATCAGATGGGTTGGGTGTTAAATAAATAAATAAATAAATAAATAAATAAATAAATAAATAAATAAATAAATAAATAAATAAATAAATAAATAAATAAATAATGTCCTGTGTTTCTAAGTACTGTACAGATAACATTGTCACGTGTCACTGAGCTATTCAGTGATTTTGATCTTGTTCTCTGACGTTTGGGTTGTTTATGTTATA